TTCTCGGGACCGCTCCCAATTCGTTGTTACCACTTTGAAAAAGAAAGAAAAGAGTAATTTGACGAGGCACCTTTTTACAATCGTTAAGGAGAATAGAGCCCCGAACGAAACCTAAAGATCTGGATCTCCTCATCTCCCACTGACCTTTTCTTACCCAGTTTCTTTGCATTTTCTTCCTTTAGTTACCTGGTTAGCTTCATTATTCGCTACACTGTATTATCCCCGAGGCGACTTGGTCGGAATGAAGAAATATACTTACGGAAGAAAAACAATAACAGACGTTATTATAATTTTACTTTGGTGGCGAGTTAAATAATACTCTTCGTTCCCAGTTGCAAAAACTTTCATGTAATTGGAGGAAAAATGATCCAATTTAGCTTCTCGTAGATTCTCGATGTGCAATTGGGCATTCTCCAAAGGCCAATGTTCAATTAGCAATCGCAGTCTCGAAGAAATTCCCCGATGGGAACTGCAAATACCGCTGATGAGGCAACGATTCGCATTTATCAAATTCTTTTGTGGAATTTTGAGGCCACTGGGACGTGGTGGAGTCATATCATTTAATTTGCACGGCCGGATAATATTCACTCGCGTAGGTCGTCCTTTCCGAAGCCATTCCTGACTTCGTGACGTCGTTATCGCGGACACCATGAGGCATCCGAGACATTTCTTGAACAGACAGACCTCACGTATTCCCGACTTCCGCCGGGGATGACCTATAGGAATACCGGAACTACCCGTTCTATAACGCATCACTCACCATCTCTACGTTCGAATTGAATCGCCCGCTCACCCTTTACCGAGACATACGTAGGACGCACGATCGCAATTTGCGCGGTAGGTCAGGTCCGACGGATCCCTGCCTCTCTACGAGAGGCGCCGTATCTTCCACCCTTATGTCAATCGGAAGTGTCTTCCCCCTTGCTGGGGGAGACCCGACCGATCCCACCGATCGCTTGCAATAGGAACCCTGAAATAAAACAGTTTTATTGTGGCGAATAAAGCAGTACTTTAGGAAAACGACATAAATAATAAGACGTTTCAGGATTGATATCATAAATATGATTTATACGATCAAGCATGAGAAAGAGCATAGAAGAGGGTAATAAATAATGATTAATAGCGCCCGGTATAATGGAGATGTATTCCACATAGTAAAGGATACTAAAAGCATCAACGAATAATTTTTGCCTTTTTTAAGCGAGTATGTGTGTACGTGCGATATAATGTCGCAAAATTTTGATATGTAGCATCATTTTGTAACAGTCCAATCGCATCATCAATTTTAGGATTTAAAAATAACGTGTATTTTTTTAATATAATTTTGAATTTATATTAATGTTATAAATAATATGGTCCGGGGACTTCTTTATTATAATCAGATTTTTTACAAGAAAGTAGAGAGAAAGAGAAAAAATAAAAAAGCTCGCGTGATATATATATATATATATATAAGTCCTTGACCGATTGAAGTATGTCTAAAACATTATTTTCTTCATCGTCAACTTCTTTTTAACATTAATATTCAACAGCCAATCACTATCCTTTTGTGCTCGCTGTTGTGGTTTGCATGTGCTCTATTTTATAAACTAACATGCAATGTATATCAAAATTTCAATTACTTTACGCGCGTATAGCGTCATATAGCGTCGTATAATTAGAATGAAAATTTAATGAAGAACCGATACGATAAAGCGAGCTGAAAATGATTGGAAACCGTTTGTGATTTTATTGCAATTCTAAATTCGAATCTTTTAAAGAGACGTGCATGATGTAGAGTTACATCTATTTTACATTTTTACACACATTGAAGATTATATCTTTTGAAGATGACATTTTGCGTGGAATTACGAGCGAGACGCTGATTGTCGGTGACACAATGACAATGCGCGTAAAATTAATCGTATTCTTGTTATATCAGACGTTGTCAAGTTTTAATACTCATTTAAAACATTTAAGCGCAGCCAACAATTTTCCCGAACGAAAAGTTAGCGAGCTCGTTAAGTTACCTTTCGCTATTCACATACCGTCGTAACCTTCTCGCTGCGTTAGTATTAAGCGGATTACGATGAAGTTTTTGACTGAAGAAACGAACGAACGAACGAACGAACATATGTTTCACCAAATGAGCCGCCGACTTTTTCGAACGCCGGCAGCATTGTCCGTGAGAAACCTTGTAATTTCAAAGAAGACGAAAAAGAGGAAAAATGGCCTAATGAAGCAATAAGAACCGACCATTAAATTCGCATCGTGTCGGCGCATTATAGCCCCCGGACTTTGAACTTCTAGATGTAACGAAAAAAAAAAAAAAAAAAAAAAACGATCGGGCTTCACGGCCGTATATTTCGAAACATTTCGTGTGCCTTTATAACAGAGGTTGGAGCTAATAGCGTTACCGGCGCGATACTATCGCGTAACTGTGTTACGTCTTAATGGATCTTTTGACTGCGACAAAGGGAGGTAAATGCCACCGGACATTTACCCGTGGCCCTCATTGGCTCGTAATTGTGGATATTAGTATTTTTCACGTCGATATAAACCTCACCGAGTCTGTACCGTCTATCTCTCGACCGCGTAATAACGACGTAGATAACAATTCGAACGCGCCCAGTCCGAGGATTTCTCTAATCTCATTTGAAACCCCATTACCTGCCGATGGAAATCAGATTACAGCGGCGGGTTGGCCTCTGACCGCTTTTCTTTCGCAATCTTATCTCGCGGTATATTCTGAAACGTGCCTCGACATTGTTAAGCATTCCGCTGACCGAAATACGATAACTGATAATGTGATGACTGTTCCAGTTACTTATTTCCATCAGAGTTAAATATTAAATGCTATCATTATAAATGTAATACCGTACGTATCTCAGCAATAAAGATTAACTTTTAATTTCGCATTCATGACGATGAAAATACACGAACATGTACACGTACGAATTTTGGACGTTCCCATTTCAGGGAGTACCACGCAATTTACATATTGTTGTCTGTTTTATACCATATGACATATAGAAGCATAAGATCTGCATGAAATGCAAGATTAACGAAGCGATACGGTGAGCTTTAAATTCTTATCACGATTCCACAGAGAGAGAAAGAGATGCGCTGCCGCGGAGCGACTCGTAAATATTATACACTTTCTCTCTCACAGTTATATATTTCTCGCAGCTTAATATCACCGTCTAGATTTCATTCGCGCTTCTCCGCTAATTTAATGAAATTATTTCACTCTCGTAAGCCTATTATTTGAAATAGAGAATACGTCGGCCCTTCCGAGCGTAAAATCTTTGATATCGGGCTACTCCGGGCTGGGAATTTATGTGTGAATATTTCCATTAGCAGATTACACTATTTTCCAATTACAACGACGAGCTTTGTCACGATCCTAACATTTCAATAATAACTGTAGATTACAATTAATTAGGCCGCACGCGTATGTGCAATTCCTTACGAACGAGCCTCTCAGACGAGCTCCCGAAAGCGGGTTGAATGTAAAATACTTCTGTAGAAATCCGGCGAAAACTTTCCTTTGCTCGAGATACACGCAGGGATATCCAACGCCGGGCGAAGGGAGACGTCTATAACACAAGTGGATAAACTTTTAGCCTATAAATAGCGGAAGGCTCAAACAGTTTTGCGAGTTACTTGCCTGTACAGCAAGCTGCTGCCTGATTTATCTATAAGCGCGCTTTCGATCACGGAAAGAAATGGAGAGGCACGCAATAAAATCTACTGTACCTCCGTTATTGATCCCGTACACGTACGAGAGAATTCTTCCGTCATTTAAATCCACCCGGCAATGTTCACGAAATAATGTGATTTACGTCATTATTAGTCCATTCGAAATAGGCACGACGCACCTTGCGCATCCTATTACACCTCCACCATTTACTTAATGTGATCGACGATGCATCATATGCATCTCACAAAGCAATTGGTATTATCAGCCATTACTGTCGATATGATCGAGCGTGTGCAGTACAAATTTCTACGCTTTGTTAGCTATCGTCTGGGAGGCCCATGGCTTACATACACCATGATTATTGTTCTGTGTTAAATTGAATATGCTGGCATTGCAACAAGAAGATTGATCTCTAATCTTATTTTTGTTTTTAACATATATAATCAGTTGGGTTTTAACTCTTCATTTATATTTGAATCTATTCAAGTTAATGTTTTTTTTTTTTTACCTTTGAGACAATGCCCTCTATTCTACGTTTTACAACGTCGAATTTTACATGTCCTGACCTACCATTTTGGCAGATTGTGTGATATCAAACAAGTTTTTCAATTATATGAATTTTTTCACGGATCACTGATAACATTTAAAAGTTCCGTTATGCGTGCAATTATATAATTGTATCAAGAATCCATGTACTTTTCTTTTTATGATTTCTTTTTATTTTTTCTTATTTAAATTAAATATAACTAGTATACAGAGAAAAATAATTTCAAATCAATGATATATATTTTCAAATACAAGCAATAATATTATAAAATTCTTAGAAAACTTTTAGTCTTGAATTGAGTGCAAGTAATACTTCAAGTAATACTTCAGTATTGCATCAATACAAATCCAGTTAAATCAAGGCTAAAAATCTTCTGAGATTATAATATTTTTGCTTTTATATATGAGAATATCTATTTTTAATTTAAGACAATTTTTTTCCTGTGTAGTAAGTTGCATTGTTCATGCCTGTCATCTACAATCTTTATATATAATTCGTAAAAAATTGAAAAGTTCCGAAAAGAATCCCGATTTCTGAGGAATGTTCTATAATAAAACTCCGGCTTCGAATGAATAAAAATATCACCTTGACCGATCGTTTTCGATCGTTCATTAATTCATTTCGGTTAAACTCAATTCGGATTCGATTTGCGACCTGCTTCGAGTGAATTTCGTAATTTCGGCTCGATCTAGCGACTCGCTTTCTTCTGTTGCAGATGAGAAGGAATCGGAAGAGCAGCGCCTCGAGTCGTCAGATAATCGACGACTGATTATGACGCGCGTCCGCACGCGGCGGCATCTCTCTCGTCTCCTCCTGTTGTTCTCTTCCTCCGGAGCCCTCCAGACACGCCATTGCTTGACCCTCCTCCTTCTCGGCCTTACCTCTCTCCGCACAGTCTCACCGTGCGAAGAGAAGACGAGGCCCCAGAGCCGTGACCCGAGCGCGTTTCCTTGCCGCATTGAGGTGAGAAGGTACTCGCGGAGGGACCTCGCCGGTCCCGGAGTGTTCCCGGAATGGATGCGAGCCGAAAACGAAGCTTTCAGCATGACTGGTCAAAGTGTTAACGACGCGGCCGGCGATTATCATCGACCCGGCGATTCGCCGGAAGACGGGCGAAGCCGTGATGGACCCGGCCAAGTGGTGACAAGACGAACTTACAGCGGCGATGGTACTCCCGTGAGCGCTATCAGTGATCAAGACGCGGACGATCGAGTGCGTTTTGAAACTGCGATTAATTATCCGGGACGAGAACTCGACGATCGTTCCGGCGGTCCCGCGGCAAATCGCCGAGTTGTCGGCGCGATCGATCTTGAGAATATGAGGCAAAGTGAGGAGAGTGTGAGAAATTGGCTGGACCACTTGGTCAGGAAGCGCGCTAACGCACCGGTGTTGCAAAGCACTCTTTATCCTTCGGAGAAGCAGGTTGTGAGCGAAATCCAATTTCAGGAAAATCGAGATAGCGATAATGAAACAAGTTTGGCTATTTCAAACGGAGCCGGGCGAAGTGCGAGCCGCGATTTAGCCGAGACCCCCGTTCACGAGCGCGATCCGGAGGCTGCATTAATCAAAGCACCGATCGATTATCCGAATCAGTCGCGCGAGTCTTCAAATATCAATCAGCCGAGGGGCCTGACGGAGAGCCGTCAAGGTAATAATGAAGTCGGTCTCGGCAACGCGGCCGGACGAGCGGGCGATCCGTACGATCTATTCAACGCCGAAACGCTCGTTAATCGTGCCAATAAACGCACGAGCAATTATTCGGCCTACCGAAGTTCGCGTGGAAACGAGGCCTCAAGCGAGGAGCGCGATATTGACGTCGCCTCTGCGGCGAAGTACCGCGACGATTCGCCGGGGAATCGAAGCGGCGGCGAGACTGTCGGTTCCGAGGCCACGGGGCAAACTCATTTAGACGCTCGTAACATCTATCCGCTTGATAATCGAAGCGACGGAGGTGCTGCATTCGGCTCTGCCAGCACGGCCGACTACCTCAGCGAGAGCAATAACTTCGACGCGGCTAATGAGTACGCGAACTCGCCGAGCGATCCGGACGCACCTCCCGACGATGACTCCGGCGATTACAACGTCGCCTCGATCGAGGACCAGCTCGTCAGCGAGAACCCGTCGGAGATCGGGACCATTCCGGAATACGCTGATGACTTCCCGGATGTTCTCGGCGGAACTCACACCGTCGCTTGCGACGATAGCGCGTGCCGCGAATCGGATGATAACGATATGCGGATAGTTCGGACGAAAAAGTTGGCCAGAGCGGAGATGTGGGAAGGGGGCGCGGGGAATGTCGGCCGAGCAAACGACGCGATACCTGCCAACGGCAGCGATACCGATATCGACAGCGAAGCGCCTTTCACGGGCTTCGAGGGTTCTCAGAAATTTCCCGTAAAAGTCAATCAGAAGACGTCGACGGTGGCGCAAGTCGAAAAGTTCGACAGGCGACACTTCGGCCCGCACAAGGAGGACGTGCTTGAGGAAACATCTACGTGGGCACCGAGCACCGAGCCCCCCGACCTGCCGAAGAGCCCCGGCAGGGACGTGCTTCATCGTCATCGCAAGACGAGCGTCGCCTCCGATGACGTCACGGAGACGAGCGAGGAGGACAGGTCGTCGGGCGACGGTAGGACGACCGAGGTAGGCGAGAAACGGAACGACACCCTCGAGGAATCCTCCTGGCTGCCCGGCGCGTCATCGGGCAGACGCTCGCCGAGTTTGGTCAAGTCCGGCCCCGACGAAAAATTCGCGACTACCACGGACGACATCACGGAGCTGGAGAGCGCGACGCGCGACGGCGACGACTCCTCCGGCGAGACGATGGATACCGGTGTAACAGTGTCGAGTGCGAAATCGATAGACAAGATAAATATAACCATCCTGGGTCTCTTTGAGATGACGCGCGGGGCGATGCCGAGACCGGAAGGATCCAGCGAACTCCAGGCGGCCAAATTGGCGGTCGATCATGTCAACGAATTCAACGTCTCCAAGTACTTTCAGCTGCGGCTTATTTACAATGACACCAAGGTAAGCTGAGCGCTTCACGCGAGGTAAACAGCCCGGCGCGAAAGTTGCGCGCGCTTGATCGCGCTGACTTCGCGATTTTTCGCTTTTCGTTATTCCGCTCGTTATTTCGCGATGGAACATTTTTGTATTTTCACATGTATTTTTCCGATCAAGAGGGAGAATTCAGTATTTCTCGCGGAACGATCCGCTTCGATTGTGTAATCGGAAAATTCAAACAAGCCATGTACGATGTCTGGGTAAAAATGACAAAGGAATTAATTAATATATGCATGTGCGAGAGGAACGCACGTTGCTCTTCATCTGAAACAATTTCCACGTCATTATCCGCCTCGTACACAATTAATTTTCGCGTGTCTGATCGCCGATACAGGCACAGTGTAATCCGTGGGATTGCACCAAATCTCCGGTCTCTCTTGATCATCATTGGCAAGAAATTATCGGGCAAGAACGTAACGTAATCCATGCGAGTCGACGTGTCGCGAAATTTTCACCGCGTTCGCTCTGTAAGTTAATTTCTAGTTAACTTCCTTTAGTCGATTTTTCATCAAGTGTTTCCCAGATATATCCGTTGTTTAAGCTTCTTTTGTTTTACGGCACAATCACCGGCGAAATTAAAATGCATTGCGATGCGTCGTGTTCTACTGTTATCGTTATATTTGTACGCGACATCACTCGTTCATTTCATTCCCGACAAGAAGCGCGTGAAAGAAGCGAGAGAAGTTAATAGGATTCCGCAAGATCCGTATCGAATTAAACAAGTGCACGCAAGAGTGGGATTTAAAGTTCGCGTGAATTTTCCGGCCCCCCTCAGCTATCACTGACACGTCGCACGGGGGGATTTTCGAAGCTCCAGGCTTGAAATTTATAGTTCCATCGGCAGCTAGCTCTTCTCCGCCCACACTCGTCTCCTCCCCGTTGTTTGAACGCTTTAGAAATGGCATGCGCGCCTCGCTCGCCGAAAAATTGAGGAATGCATCGATAGACGATGCCGGCCGACGTCACTATTAGCTACCTCGTTACACGACCTTAAGTTTCGAGCAGAGACAACGGTAATTTTAGACGAAATTACTCCCTTCTCCGCCGGTCAAATCTGCAAGACACACATATATATATATATATATATATATATATATATATATATATGTAGGTGAAGCATTTACTCCCGGCGGATCAAACTTTTACCAATTACTTCCACAGCCCTGAATTACATCGTTCTTTCGGTAATTAGGCGCAAGATTGCCGAGCTGAAACCTCAAACGGACTTAATTGGATAGCTAACCCGATAAAAGTAGCCCTCGTCGCGAAAATTAATTTTATGCGCAAATTTCAGCTCGCGATCAGGACTAGTTTCCAGATTTCTTTCTCGACGTGCCGGTGCCGCGCTCGCGCGCATACACGTACGATGAGATATTCAACGCGCGTGATTACTTTGACATTATCATGAAAAATGCCGTGTAACGTGCGAGACGCGAGGAAACACCATGCGAGTTTGCATAAGATAAAGCACTAAGAAGGAGGGGAGATCCCATAAGGGATCCCGTCAAGCCCGTCGACGTTCTATTTACGTAGACGACTTATATCTCGCTCTTGGGGATACGTGTAAATATGTAAGGAGCGTTCGATCGATCTTTAATTCGTGATTTTTACACGTCCGAGCATTTCATCTGGCTCCCCGAGAGTGTCACCCTTGGTCTCAGTAGAGGCCGCAAATTCCTCGTCGTACAGCGACAATGTTACGTGGTGTTCTCCAGCGACAAGCCGAAACCGCTGTCAGATGCCGCGCTCCGAAGCGGCTTTGAGCATCTTCCAGCAGTACAACCTAACTACCATACGCGTTCCAACAATTTGTACCGCTCCAAGCGTACACGAAATACTTACCTCCTTGTGATGCGCATCTCATGTCGCACTTCGGAACTTAATAACGGTAATCGGATCTCGTTCCCGTCTTTAACAATCGTACAGATAGTTACACAGTCCTGTCGCGTGACCGAGAACTGCTTGGAGAAGTGTAGAAGTTCTGAAAAACCGTGCACGTCACTGTGAAACGTTTTGGTTACAAACAGGACGGTGCGCAAAAAATGATTAAGATTTCGTTTTATCGATCAAAGAGCGTTAGTTCGTGCGAATATGAAAATAGTATATTAAATTTTCAAGATAATTCTCAAGATTATTTTCGAGATTATCCTGTGTTGCAACCCCCCTAAAGTATTGTGCGACCGTCTTTGTGGTTGTAATATGAAATTGCTCGGCTCCACGAGAAAGAAGATTTCTTCCAATCTTCTCGCTCCATCCCACGCTTCCATTATAATTTACATTTCCGCTTTGCACATCAAATCCGTCGCTAAGAAATGGCGGAATCTGCATAAAGCGAAACTCTCGATTCCCTCGATGCCGTTCGGACTCGTGCGACTTCTTGGGGCGCGTAAGGAATAACGTTATGTTCACGTGTGTGAACGCGTTTCTCAAGTCGATGGAGCCGAAGCTCTTCTTACAATCCTGTCAGTTCCATGTATATCTTCATCGCGAAAATATTTTAGAATCATTCCGTCACAGAACGTGTCCGCTAAATCGGATCTCTCATTCGCTTGAAACGAAGACACCGACGAGGTGAGAGCAGAGACAGTCAGCCTTACGGGATTTAGCGTATGTACAAAAAATTTCGCTGTTTAATAACTACTTATCCAGATATTTTTTGTGCTCATTAAAATTTACTTCAAGCTGATGGTCTTTCACAGTATCTCGTCGGCACCGAGAACGAAAAATTAACGCATTGCGCGTCAAGCGCGTCGTGAAGAACATGGTTTCCATCCGTTGCGTAAAAAATAAATCACGTTTGCGCTATTGGGACTCCCGATTAACCGCGATAGCACGCGTTTTATGTTACGATACCGTTGCCTCGAATACGGACGAATTGTATATTGGCGAGAGCATCGCACGCATATCGAATACCGCTTACAAAACAAATTGACCCCGTGTTTATCCTAAAAGAGAATGACGGCGACGAATGGCGATGCGGTCACGAGCGCAACGCGATTAAACCGATGTTTTGTTTCCGACCGTGTCCGGATGATGTCAGGGCGCCGAAAATTATCACGTTCGAGAGTTCTCATCGCGGCACGCCCCCGCGGTGTTAAGTTCTACATAGTTCCGTATACTCCGTGTTTATTTAATAGAACGTCGGGCACCGATATTCAGCTGTTTGTCCGCCGTCGATTGGAAATCGACATTTCGACGGCACTTATACCGCTGTGTTACACGAGGATGAAGCAATTACCATCTCGAGTATCATCGAAATATGAGAGTAAGAGAAAAATTTATCTAACGAAAATAAAAGACAAATAAATTGATACCGATCACTTTAAACACCTCCTGTAAATATAAACTTTTTTTATCTTTATCTAATCGTTAATTTAATATTTGTATTTTTCGAGAAGATATTCCAGCTGATAATAGTTGCCTGACCCCTGTATATTAACAATTGCGGCATATCGTCGTGCAATTATTGCCAACATTAGTTATCAGCGCAAGATATTCCGATGGGAGAATGTAAGAAGCTTTGGAGAAAAGTGGAACGGAAATAATTCAACAAGTAAGGCGGTGCGCGCTTTTTCGAAATCCTCGGTGACATCTCAAACCGCACGCGAAAGTGCATACAAGTTACCTGATCCTTTTAAACTTTCATAGCGCACATCGTTAAGGTGCATTACATTTCGCCTACAAAGCCGAATGATGTGCATACTCTTAGCGAAGTAGTTAAAAGCAGGAAATGAGAGAACTGTATTCAGGCTGCTACGTGTCTTGCGTTAAAGCGGAAGGCTTAAACAGAGAAAAAAGGTTTTTTTAGATTTAATATTCCGATTTTTATACAATTTAGATTTGTTATATGTTGAAACAACATAATTTTATATGAAACATTATTATTTTCTTTCGTCAAATTAAACCATGTTACTTGACTGAAAAAAATTGTTTCATACGTGTTATGCATTTCAAACTAATTCATCATACGAACTAATTATTGTAATATTTGATTAACAATCCAAGCTATCATAGCGTCGATGGTTTGCTGATATACATTCTACCAATACTGTATATCGACTGTTATATTACATTGTTTTCAGTGTTTACCAGTATGTTCTAAGTAATAAGATAATGACATTATATTGTTTGTTTCTGAACGTTAAAAGTAATCATGGATGGACGGGAAAAGGAAATCACGGGTAGGGGACAACGAAACAAAATAATGAATTTATTTGAGGGGTCAAATAATCTGTTTGATTAAAGCACTAGTTTAATTATCAGTCTGATAATTAAATTTGCTTGAAAATTCGACAAAATCTATTAAATCTAAAGAAATCTTCTTCTCTGTGCATGAGATGAAAAAGCTTCTTGGAGAGAAACTGCTCGTTTTTAATATTTTTCAAACGCATACTTTCAGTAAATAGTACTTCGTTTGAAATATCTCGTATATCTCTTAAACGCGCCGTTATACATTTTATCGCCGTTACTCGATCATTTCGCAAAATTGACCTATAAAAGACTCATAAAAATAAATATTGTGTCGCGTACGTATTATTTACAAACTGATAACGCATCCATACTCTTGAAAAACTTATTCAGCACACAGATCGAGGTTGGGGAGCCTTGTATTATAAATGGAGGTCACAATTCATTCAGCGCGAATCCATGATTCAACATTATCATGCGAAGAGGCGCGCATAAATTTCTGATTGTTCGTAAAGTTCGAACTCGCGTGACTTCTCACCCTTCCAAGCTGTCACCGAGAGCAGCTCTCATTATGTGCGAACCCGAAGGACCGTGTGGCCTTTATATCTTCGGTGGATTCATCTTTGTATAGCCAGAACTTAAATGCCTCTCGTATATGCGTTCGCATACAGCTTGTGCGTACGACGACGCACGGATGCGGGCCGTATGCTGCGGTCGGTGTGCAGACAACGAGAACGCCGCAAGAGCCCCGGGCTACAAGTAATTTAACCAATCCA